GCATTTTTTCAAATTTGAACACGAATTACAGCCAAACGGCTAAAACCACAGTAATATATCGAAATGTAAAATCAATGAAATGTAAAAACACTACTTCAAGTATGATATAAGTAAGTGAAATTATTATTTTTAAATATTTATTAATTAATTAAGAAAATTGATCGAAAATTTACAAACAATTAGAATTTATCTAAAAAAAATGACGATGACTTAACCTCATCCGTCAATGTCAAACAACACTTGATCGAAATAATCCATTGATTACCTAAAGATTGTGTGGTGGGAGTAATAAAAGAGACGATACGAAACGTATTTGATAATTTATTTTTTTTGCACATTTATTTGTATTCATTTATTTATTTTATACACATCAAAGTTTAATGTTTAAATACATGAGTATATGAATGGTAAATTTATAGATTTTTTTTGTTTTAAATGAGACAAAGGCACAGTTTGGAAAACGAGATTCCTTCTACAGTCAATAAAACGCAATTATACACAGACGACACACGAAACAAATGATATATATATATATATATAATACGAAAACAAAAATCAATAAAAAAAAAACGAGATAACAATTGAACGAAATAAGTGAAGAACAGCGAAACGACGACAATTGGAGGTGTTCCATTAGGAAAAAAGAAGAGTTGATTTGTCTACGAGTGAAGCCTCCAGTTGTCACCAAAAAGTGATTTGCGTGCGTGTTTCCATTTTTTTTCTTCTTTACACGCGGAAAGAAAAGCGCAAAGGACACATGATTTGGAATGTAAATAGATGCAAATGAACGGAATTTCAATAATGATAACAATATGAAACAATAATTAGAACAGTTGATTGCGTTATGTTATGTTTAGAATTAAGTAACGTCACCTACTAATTGATAACTACTGAATCTTCTTAACATTAGCTTTGTATTCATACTTTCTTAGTGTTTGTGTGTGTGTATTTGCTCTGTAATCATTGGCGGAAGGCGCTTTTTTTTTCAAATTTTTATTTCCTAAATTTGAGACAAACAGTAAATTACTAAATAAATAAGAAAACGGAAAATTAACAATAAATATAGACGAAACTGAAGAAAGGCATTCGAATAATAATAAAGTAACGTTTTTTTTTGTTGTTGTGCGCGCGAAAGAAAGTCGAAAAGAATGCAATGGGAATTCGAAAGAAACGATCGAGATTTTTGTATTCCTCATCACCTCGACATGGTTGATTGATTGATTTGATTGATAGGCCGTTGTTAGATTAGGAAATAACACTCTAACTTTTGCTTTCTCTCTTCCTTTCTCTCTCTCTCTTTTTAACACACACTCTCTCTCTCTCCTATATTAATTATATATTCACAATTTAACTCAACCTTCTTCCTCTTTCTTTCCCATCCTCTCATTAATTTAACTTTGCTTTTTCTTCCATTTTTTTTTTTTGGTACTCTATCATATCGAATATTGCTAACTAATATGTATATTAAAACTATATATAATATATATATACTCTATATATAACAACCATCGAGTAACAACGACACAAAGTAGCAACATCCATGGCTACGATTAGCGATTAATAATAATAATTTAAAAAAAAGAAACAATAGAGAAACAGAACAATAATAATAATAATAATACGCATCCGGTCTTCTTCTTCTTTCGCTATGATTGATTATATAATGCATCTTTCGTTTCAGAAATGCAAACGCTTTTTTTGGCAACACTGACTCAATCTAATCACCAACAATTATGATCATTGCGTGCGTTATTTGCATTTCGAATTATGTAACAACAATGATGCGCGTACAAATATAAATATGTAAACACACAAGTATCGCTTTGTGTTGCTTTGCTGCGTGTATACAGGGTGTTTTCCAAGTGAGACTTGTTGCAGATTTTGTTGTTGTTGTAAATAAATGTAAACGAGAGCAAGCCAAGTGATTGAAGATTATTGTGATATAATGATCATGACCTAAGGTCCTAATGTAGTTACAGTTACAAACAACTACAATTCCAATTAGGTTTTCGGTTACTTTTCGGTGACATTTAACCACTTGGCTGTCATTGGTGAAAAAAGAAAATTGAACAGAAATCAAACGGACAAAGTTTGCCAACTTTGTTGCAACTCGTAATGATCAAGGAATTGATGGAAATGAACGACGTTACAGAAATAAACACCCAGAGATAGAAAGTTTCCTAAAAGAACATAAGTTCGATATTATGGTCATTTCCGAAAACAACGTCAAAAAGATAGAGTAAATCTTCCTTAAGATAAAGACCCATGCGCCAAAATAGTTAATCCAATAATAACTGACTTCGCAAAAGGAAAAATAGCTGCAGATGATGCTAGGAAAAGCAAAAACGAAATATATAATAATCTGTATTGAATGAATGATTGAAATGAAGAAACCATGCATCCCGATAGGTGATACCAAAATAATTTCTATTTCTGTCAAAAAATGACAGTAAAAAAAAGAAAACCGACGAGTACACAACTTGGAGCACCCTGTATACAAAATGTACAGAGGTGGAGGACCTATACAGCGTCATCAAATAATAACCATCCAATAACATAAATAACCGTAGTATGTACAATAATAATATTAATAAAACGTAACAAATTCGCTCACGATTATTGTTTTTTTTTTTTTTAATTTGTTTAGTTTTCGATGAGCGAAAACAAAGTTGCATAACATAGTTTGTTCTTAGCCGACGACCGGAATTGGGGTCGCAGCAGCAGCAGCACAAGAAGCACCGCGTTTCATCGCCTAAACATTACATTTGTCTTGCACACACATATATATATGTATTCACGAGTAATCTAGACTAATCAGTAGTAGTAGTAGTAGTAGCTTGTATTATCCATTAATAATAATAGTTAATTACATTTAATACCCGCCAGGTCTATAACACGTCCCCAATATTTTCTCTTTATAAATATATTTATATATATATATACAGGGCGATCCGCTAATGACAACAATTTAAATGGCATTGCGTAAAACTTTATTTTTTTTTTTAGCAAATCGCGCACCGTACTTATCTGAACGCAAATCATTCTCGAGCAACAACAGTATTGTGGTTTAGTAATTGTATAATGATAATCTTGAACATCTATTATTGCAATTTTACACATTGAAGAAGCTCGAACATTCCCTCCCTCTCTACTTTCTTCTTTGCCTTTCCTCCTCCTCCCAATTTTGGAAGAAGAGACGCGCGCCTTCTTCGGGCATACGCACATCACTATCCACCTAGAGATCATCACCATGGTTACAGATTCAAAATGACTAGAAACGAACTCGCGTAAACTCCAATAAAATTATACAACAACGATATTAATAGTAATAATAATAGTAGTAGTAGTAGTAATAGTAACAGTAGTATGTGTAATAATACATGTATATACATATGAGTGTATATACAATAATCAAATACGTAATAACAACGATACTTAAGTAAGCTTATGAACCATGCGTAACAGTATTTATAGATATAGATTACATAGTTATTGCGTATGTATACATTTTGTATATTTTAGATGTTTCTCATCCATCTCTGACGCCCAACCTGGCAGGTGTCTTCTACTTCATCTCTCCTCCTCCTCCTCTTCATCATGATAATAATAATAATAATAATATTTCGACTGACTACATTCACAATGAAGCGGTTACAATATATTTATATGCTTTTGCATACTTATCACAATGATACGACGACATTGATACGAACTAGTCAACTAAACGTGTTCAACAAACGGGAAGAGGGCGGCGCGAAAAAAAAAAACATCTCCTCCTCCTACTCCTCCTCCTCCTTGGGGGGGGGGGTGTATGTGTATGTGGGGGCGCGAACTGCGCGCAAATTGATTGTCGTATTACTCTTACTTACTCTCCACCCTTCGTGTACATCTTTATTAATGTTATTCTCTTACTTACTTAACTCGATTCGATTATAATCTCGCTTTCTCTCTCTCTCTTTCTTTATCTCTCTCTCCCACCATCATCCGCATGCTCCAATCGTTTGTTGTTTTCCCTATTACACAATATCCTCCACCTTCGGCGCGAAAATCCAAGAACACCGAGATGGTGGGGGGGGTGGCAACGAACGACAAAACTATTACTTTTTTTTTTGTTTGCTTAATGAGATCCATGAGTATCCTAATCGTCTTTCTCCTCCTCCTCCTCCTCCTCCTCTTCCTGCTCCGCCACGCAACCTCCGAAACACATCACCGTCGCCTTGACAGCAAAGCGAGAAGGTCTTCCCTAGGTGGCCGGAGTTTCACCCTCAACTCGCGCCATTCGCGTCTCGAATTCCTTGCCCAGAGCCGCCTTTGCCTATAAACAAAACACGATGAAATCAATTAATTCTGCAAATACCTTCAATTACGCGATAATTACCTTTGTCCGGTGCTCTTGGAAGGCGTTACGCACGCTCTCGTGTTGACGCGTCAACTCGTCCTTTTTGGCGTCGAAGACCTTCGCAAGTCGCTCCCTCTCGATGACGCCACGGTCAACCACAGCGCAATTGACCTCGCGCTTCACTCGCACCAGCTCATCCCTATCTCGATGGATCTTCGATAAAGCTCTCACCTCTTCACGACGGTCCGCCTGAAGCCGCTTCATCATCTCACCCGTTTCCCTTTCGCATTGCGTCTGTAAACACACACACACACGATCATTTTATTTACAAATACGAATCGAAGAAATGATACGTACCACGAGAATCTTGATCTGATTGGTCTGCGAGGTCTTCATCACCTTCTCGGCGGTATTGTAGATGGCCTCGTGGTACTTTTCACGCAGCTCCTTCTCCTGAGCGACGAACTCTCTGCTTGCAGCTAGGAGACGTTCGCTTTGGCTCCTCGGTAACGTCGGTCTACCATCGCCTTCTCCACTAGAATCGGCACCGTCCGCGACAGTAGTTAGAGGTTCGGCGCTCGGAGATTCCGTCGAAAACACTCCACCCACGCTACAATCAATATACAAATGAGTCAAATTACACAATTATACAATTTTTTGTAACGTACATGTTCTTGCTTGAGAGCCTTTTCACCAATTTTATATTGATCAGCTTGGAGCGTTTTTCGCCGCCACCAAAGTCGCTCGATTTCTGCGACTGTAGAATGACGCGCTTCTTCTCGTGTTTCTTCCTCAAACTCTCTAATTTCTTCTCCAGCTCCATCCGCTTCTCCTTGACCAGCTTATTTTCGAGGATCTTCTCCAACGGCTCCGCTACGATATCCTCGATGCGTTCCGCCACGTCCGGCGTCTTGGCTACGGAATTCGGCGGATCTGCGCTACCAGAGGTGTTCAGATTTGGACTCACTGAGACCGAAACCGCATCAGTCGACTGTTCGGCATTCGCTTCGAGACTGACCGCAACGTTCTTGGTGATGGATTGTCGTTGGATAGGACTGCCGTTTACCTGTTCCTTAGTGATCTTGGTGATGGTGTTCGTCTTGGGTTCAATATTTTCGGCGATCTCCATGCCTTCAGTGAGCACGGCCAGCTGTTCGGCGCGCTTCTCCAGGTCGCTCTGATACTTGATGGGATTCGCCAGAGCTTCGGCAAAGTCCGAGAGGCCGTCCGGAACGTAATCCTTGACAACTATGTGCAGGAAGAGCGTGGCCAAGGGCAGGGGTTGTCCCAGTTCGGTGCGCAGATTTACGTGTCTGTAGCCAGGACACAGACCGATCACAGGCATCACGCGATGACCTATGAACTTGCCAGACTCTTCGTATACGGCTATTCTGACTGAAGCCAATTCAGGTAGAACCACCTACAACAAAGGTTCATTTAAAAGGTTATAATACAATGTTATATAATGTTTATACTTTTTTGAAGACGAAAGGCTCATCCTCGTAGACGGGATTGATCCCATTGTTGGGTACCACTTTGGTGCGGAACTTCTTGCGAGCGGTGTCGGCGGGAAGACCGTACATGTCGACTTCGACATAGGTGCCTACTCTTCGGTCGGTAAGGAATTGTCCGGATATCACAGTGATTTTGACGGTGCCAGCGATGATGCCGTCCACGGTACTCTCGGCGAAAGGATCGAGACGACGGTCGATGCGCCGCATAAATTCCGGCTTCAGCAGGAATCCGCATCGGAGATTGTACTCGAAGACGCCGAGGTTCAGCTGCATGGCCAGATCGAGCGTTTGGAAATTGAGCGCCACCAGCTGGCATCCGGCGTTCCAGAAGACCTGCGGCATAAAATTGGAGGAGTCGAAGCGAGTGCCCACAGGATAGACACGGCTCAGCTGATGCTTGTTGTAGTTGACGAACTCTATGGGCTTCTCCTTCAGCAAGGTGGTGGCTTGCTTCTCATCGAACGACGACATTTCGTAGCTGCGGTTCTTCTCTACAGGTAACAATATGAATTGGTTAACAGCATCTCGATAAGTCGAATATAATTCACGTACTTTCAGCATTTTCGAAGCTGGAGAAGTGCACCGGTTGAACGTAGTTGACCAGCGCAGAAATTTCAGCTCCAGCTTCGGTCTCTTTGGCTGCGACAGCTTTTTCACCGACGTTTTCCTGGGATTCACTCGGTGGTTCCGGTTCGCCTCCATCTACCTCTTCTTCGCTGGAGGAATCTTCCTCTTCAGTGCCGGTAGATTCCTTGGAGCCCTGGAAGTATCAAGGAAGTTACAGATTTGAAACGACCAAGAGGTTTGATCAATGAAGAGACCTGTCGCGTTTGCAGCGGTGGCGGATGAGCAGGGGGTACTTCACCGTTTCCTGTGCGCACGTTAGCATTTGTGTCGAGTGCAGTCGGTGCTGCTACGACCACAGCCTCCTGCACTTTCTTATGGTGATGATGATGGTGATGATGCTTCTTCTTGTTTTTGATGATTATCTTACGTTTCAGCATTGAAGGAGGCGGCAACGATATACCTGAAAAAGTAACAACAAAAATCATTAGAATCATATGGACAAAGCGGTAAAAGTTTACTCTGAACTTTGAAATGGTATGTATCGACTGCATCAAACAAATCCATTAAAAAAGCTATTACTGAAAGTCGCAAAGTAAAGTTTAAAACTATTTTCGTTGCAGTGAAGTTTACAGAAAGATTGGAAAGAAATGAGAACAAAGTCCGGATAGAGTATTTCTCAGAGATGCTTATTTACCTGGTTCCAATTTGTGCGAGTCGATGGGATCTGCGAGAAGCATGTCTCCGAAGATCTCCCTGCAATAATTGGCAATTTTGGCCTGCTGTTTGGGATTGCAGTGGTTCTCGAAGGAAAGAACGACGGGAAAATCTGATGTCTTGAAGGCGCTCTCAGCAATTGCCTCTAAGACTTCCCTGGCGTTGATGTCCGGTACGAAGGTGTAACCGTGCACGATGATCGGTTCATCGTTCCTGCCGCCGTTCCAAAAATCTAACTCGACACATCTGCAGCCTGCGAGCAAACACTGCCTGTAGATCTCGACGCTCGACCTTCCAGTCAACTGATGGCCCGTGAGGTAGGTGTTGTGCGAGGAGTTGATGAAGTAGTGTGACATCGGATGGTCCATCTCGTCGGTGAGATCGTAGCTATTCTGCGAGATGATGTTGTTGTCCTCGGACATGAGGTACTTGAGGAAGCCCTCGGCGGAGAGGACTCCCTTCTGGACGTAGCCTTTGTTCGGCTCGTACTGAGCGATGATGTCCTTGGCTCGAGCGACGTCCGCATACGGAAAGAGGATCTCGTTTAGACGTGGGTCGCGCTGCGTTTTGTTCAGAAACTCGACCAGCTGCTCGGCAGTCATCTGCTGCTTCTTGCAGGCGCTGCAAATAAAGATTACTCGAATATTCCCGGGTCTTTGCGATCACTTACATCTCGTTGAAGATCCTCTCCACCTCCGTGCGTTGCGTCAGGCTCTTGTAGAAACCGAAGAACGCGTCGTAGCCGAGCTTCTCCGTCGAGATTGTGTCGTTCTTCCCGTGTGCAATACCCGACAACTCCAGAGCTTTCTCCACCCTCTTTCTGTCCTCTTTATTCTGTGCGTACATCTTGATCACACTGCAAACACACATTCATAAAACAACGATCACTTGGAGAAGATGGATTTAGTTGCTCACTTCTTGACGGTGATTTTTCCGCCTCCGATTGTTGCGTATAGCTTGAGCTTGGTGAAGGCCTTCCGCAGGAACATGTTGTTGGTGCCGTTGATCTGGTTCAGGTTGTAGGCGAGCGACATCAGCGAATCCGTCCAAAGACGGGCGATCTCCTTCCTCGTGCAGCAGAAGTTGATGAAGTTTATGTTGACGAAGTCGCTAGCAACGCACACCGTCACCGTCTTCTCCTCCAGCGTATCCTGCGAACCCATCGTCACGATCTGCCGCAGCTTCGGATCCTATGGAAACGCACAAATAGAAAAAAAATACAATAAACAAACATCAAAATATAAACCGATCCATGGAAACATCAAGGCAACGGTAAAGATACATACTTTGATGTATAATTCGGAAAGACATGAATTTCAAAGTATGTGAAAATCGTATAGCAAATAATTACTCTGCACATATACATTTTTTTTTTGTTTTTATATCAGTGTACACTAGCAAAGTGATGTTATTGATTACGTTTTAATTATCAGATTTCATTGCTCAACTATTGGGTCGTTAAATGAAGCGCGCGCAATCAAAGTAAGTTATGGCGACATCGGCAATAACGAGACAAAAACGATACCAATTAACTCGGTTATAACGACACTAATCGAGTTGGACTGTACAGACATTAAAGGGATATCCGAAAATAAACAGGATTACGTTTGTCAAAGTATATTTACGTAATTCGAAATGCAAACTTTCGAACGAAAAAAGCGAAACACAATTAGTGTGCAGTGCAGCTATCGATCTGATCTAAACTAATAACATGTTAATATTAGCTTTGTAGATGAGACTTCATCGGAAATACGGATAGTGTTTGCGCATAAATAATATAGTGAGAGAAAGAGAGAAAAAAAAACATCGTCAGCTGCAGCGGTGTAGTGCTTTGGTTGGTTGAATCATTCATATTTTGATTGAAAATCAATTTTCGGGAAATGCGTTCATATACATAGAGAGAGAGAGAGAGTATAAATATGAGGTTGTTGCATAACTGAAACCATACAGTTATTGCATCGGGCTGCTAGCAATCAAATTAGTTTTTCGTTGTTGTTTGTAGTTGGCTGTTTTGTTTTGGGAAAACAAAACAACGCGTCGAGCAGAGTGTTATTGAACAGGTGGAACATTAGGGGAGGCCAGAAACAAGCAAAATTTGCAAAGGCAAATTGCATTACGCGAAATCCCAAACGAAACTGACCACAAATGAACCTGAACGTAACGTTATGACCGAAACAGGACTTTTCCGGAAAATGCAGTTGAAAATCGAATTTAAAACGACAGCTGTACAATTTGACAAGTCAAACTTATTATTTCTATAATACAGATTTTTACAAGTAGAGTTTAAAATGTAAAATTATACAAAATTATTGAGTAAGAATACAAATAGTTCGATTATCGTAAATTACGAATTTGCATTGTTTATTCAACCGCAACGTAAAATGAGCGTGTAATAATAATGAGACGAGAAGTGGAAAGATGAACGGACGTCTCTAATTATAGAATACCTCTGATGTCATGCAAAATCGTGCAATTGCACTTTTTCTTGTTTTTTTTTTCCATCGCTGTCTTTCTGTGTTCACATAAACTGACCATTCGTAATTTGAAACAAGAAACTAATAAAAATAACCAAGTTCTTTCCGTATCTAAAATATTTACTTTGATACCCGGCGCATCCATCAAAATCGTATACAAACAAATAATAAAACTCTAGTTTCATTTCATACAACAGAGCTGTATTATGTTGTGTATATATATTTTTATTATTTACGTGTTGGCAATATGATTTGTTGACATTTGCTTGTCATTTGCGATGTTTGACATAACATGTTTGAATATTAATTAGTTGGCAATATGAAGTATTATTAATATATTTTTGTTGAGAATACATTTGGTTTAAATTTGCGACGTTTGATGTATCAAAATGGGAAATGCGATCTAAGCAGATGCGAACGCTAATACGTTAGTAATATGAAGTATTTTTCTTGTTGACATATTGTCTGTCAAAGTTGACAATATATTTTGGTTAAATCTGTGCGGTTTGACATTTGAAAATGTGTAATGCGAGCTGAACAGATGCGAATGTCGGAGATGCGGATTCGCGTACGGAAATAGGTAGGGTTCCCGGCGACGGCATCATCATTATTTCAACTTGTGCTGAACTAAATAATATTTATAGTTGGAAGAAATCGATGATACGAGCTGATGATGTGCCGAGTATTTAGAAGTGACTGCAAGCTGGTTGCCTACAATACGAATTAATTAAAAAAAAAAACAATAATCCATTTAGGATGTGGTGTTTCGGCACCTCAACGCACGGACTGTTTATTTTTTTTTGTTGTCTCCCTCCTCCCTCTCGCTATCATCGGAATATCAATTTTGAGTGCCATTAACCCAAATTAAATTCGCACCCTCTTCCGCACTCCGACGGCCTTAAATTATTAATCGCATCCAATTAATCCGATTGCCTTGCAGCGCGCCATCATTTCAAACGAAACTTCTCCATTCCGTCACACGCACGTCAAATGTCACCAATTGAGAGTCCATTTTGTCCGATGTAGATGTCGCTCAAATGCGCAAAAAAAAAAACTGTCAATCAACCGTTTTCAACATGTAAACATTGCAAATAACGATTACACATTTTCAACATAATTGCAAATTTAAATTTGAAAAAAATACAAAATTTAAAAAAAAAAATGCACACTATCGGATTCTCCGGGATTTCCCTTTGGAAACTCACGTTTCTAAATAACCGTTATGCAATTCCGTGTCGGTGGAAATTCCGTTTTCCCCCCATTATTTGCTTTTTCCTATGTACTTTTCCAAATCCAACAATAATTAGAGATTTAATAAAAGTAACTTTTTTTTTTAAATAATAATTTTACCAAATAAAAAAAACCATAATTGACAAGAAACTGTAACCAATAGCAACTAAAAAAAATGTAACTAGAAATACGTATTATTGAAAAAATACAAATGTTCAGAGTAAATGAAAGTGAAGACTGCACATTTATTTTTAATGTCGAGACACGAAGACATCTCGTTTCTACACCTGTTTATTAAATGGAAGAGCGAGTGGCAGGAATTCGACAGAAGGAATTCATCCCAACTAAATTTAGACGGTTATCCTCCCATTCAGACTTCTTTCTCCTCCGGAACAACAGAATTATTGCTCCGCGAAGATATCAAAACTTTTCTTTTTTTCTTTTTGCACTTATACAACTTCAATATGCATCATTCATATAATTGGAATTTAGATAAGCACTTTTGTTTCAACGGCGCCAAATTCAAATGAAAAAAAAAAAGAAGAAATAACCTGCACGACTACAATACATTGCTGATATATATATATTTGCAATCTAAGTAAGGTCTTTTGTTGTTTCCTTTTTGGCGCCAAATTAAAAACAAAAAGAGGGAAACTAGCCTACGCGATTACGACATAAGGAATATTGTTTTTCAGCGCTAAATTCAAACAGAAGGTACAGGAAAAAAAGAACAAACGAGAGATGAAAACAAAACATCATATCCGGTTGATTTACGCGCGGCAATTTTCTCCCTTCCCGGAGAAGACATTTTTCAGAGCGCCTCGTTCCGCCCCATCCGTGTATTTAATTCAACTAATTTATCTTCCAACCCCTTTTGCCCAAACTTTGCCCGTCCTTTTTTGCACTTTCCTTCTTTCTTCCCTCAACCTCTTTCTCGTACCTACAGACACTCATCATTTCCCAGAGAAAAGCACCGGAAAACGAAATAAATTTCGAACCGTTTGTTTTCTTACTACCATAGCACAACGTATGTTCTTTTTGTTAGGTTTTCTTCCAGTCTTTGCAATATTCCATCGTAATCCATTTTGTAGAGTGAATGAAAAACAGGACACGTTCCAGTTTTAATATTCGAGAGAATTAATCCGAGCGCAGAGTTTCCCTTAGGTATTAATATGGCAATATAATATAAGCAAACATATTTCCAACTATGTAGCATGTATTGTACAAAGAAACTTGTAAAAAGACTCGATTTTTCAACTTTGAACGAAAGTTACAGCAAATCGGCAATACTTACAAATATATCGAATTTGAGTGCTCATTCATAATTGTGCCGAAACACGACGATTTGTGAGAAAGACTAACCAAACCGTGTATTTTTCTTTTGACTAACATTTGTTTGATGATGTTTGAATCTGAGAAAATAAGTTTTAAAATCTGTCTTCTCACAGTCATAATATTTATAGTACATCTCGTTTAGTAGTGAAAACTAAGACTATGAATAAGGTAAACAAAATATTTACGACTGAGAACATCAGAAAATGATTATTGAGCTTACAAAATGCAATCGATTCTTTCCGAATGTTTACAAACATTTCGCGAAAAAAATTAAAAGAAAATTTCCATTTAAATTATAAGTTTAATTTTATTTTAAGACGCAAGAATATTTTTGAAACTGAATTACACATATTTAATTTTGCAAATCCGCACAAAAATATACATTCCATATGTCTAGAAATTGTGAGAAAGACAAGTTTAATATAGAAAACAATTCTTAAAACATCTAGTTATTTTTAATATACAGATTTCGAAGAAAACGTAACGGAAATCATTTACAAAACATTCTGTTCAACAAAATTTCACGATATTTATATAAACTTATTTCTATAAAATACTCTAAAATCATCGTTTCCATTGGTAATTTAATACTTCTGATATCTTGCAATTGGAAACATTTTGCTATTGGAAATTGTATTCGTTCATAAGAAATAATGCACATTTTGTCTGTCTGTAACTTCATACAAAGTGCTCCAACAATTGTCTCCAATTAATAATTACGATTTCTTGCAAGTCCCCTTGCTATCAGAAAAATTACTGCAAATAATACACATTTCACGTTTGAAACATCGTGAAATCAATACTCTTGCAATTACCTTAGTTATTGGAAATTTCTTCTGTTTCTACGGAAATAAATAATACACATTTTGTCTGCAACTTTTCCTTATTATTTTTTTTAGAATAATTACGATTTCTTTAAACTGTTAGTAATTACTCCAACATAGTTTTTCTTCTTGCAAATACTTTCTTCCACCAATAATTTAATATCGGGTTGGCAAGAAAATAATTTCGGTAATTTTTCAAAAACAATTTCATAGAAAAAAATGCATTGTTTTCTTTGTTTTATATCCGTTTCCATCGAGAATTCAATAACATTCAATTTTCTTGACAATTGTTTAATCAGTGCCAATTACAAATCGAAGAAAGAAAAAAAAAAGGAGGAAATTTAATGGTGTTTATATGTTCTGCGTCGTTTCCATGGAGAATTCAATAACATCTGTTTATTGAAAATATTCTTGTAGCGCTAATTGTGAATCGAATAACAAAAACAATTGATGTTCTGCTTTAAGAACGTTTCCATGGAGAATTCAATATTATTAAATTCTTCAAATTCTTCTTATTTCCGACAGTCGTTTGAGAGCAGTGCCAATTGCAAATCGATAAAAAAAAAATAACAAATTTAATGATGTTTATAGAAGAAAGGAAATCAGGAAATTTCGATTGTAAAACGTTTCCTTTGCGTAATTGCATCTGTTTGGTTGGGTGGTGCTATTTTATTTCGTTTTCTTCTTCTCTGTGTGTGTGTATATTTGGTGGAATGTTTATGGATCGATGAAAATAAGATTGTAAAATGCTGAAACCCATGTCGATTGCGGCCGCTAATCGAGTACAGGGAATAATAAACAAATAATAAAAATAGAAGCAAAGCAATAAAGGCCCCCCCACAAACGGCCAGGCTGGCTTTCATTTCGGAACGATTTTCTTTTCCTCCTCCTTTTTCTTTTCTATTTCATCCTCCTTCTCCAACATCCTACACACACAAGCACACAAACACAAGTAGCCTGTGCATTTTTTTGCAACGTTGTAGTGTGTTGCTTCAGGCGAAATGACGGATGCGAGACAAGAAAGTCATGTCCTTTCCAGAGGGAATGCGGAGAAGATTCAATTTCCCTAATGGGAACGATGTGTCCTCCGCATCGCGGAATATCCCCCTTCCGGATAGGATAAACCGTCTTCTGGGAAAGCAACAGTCGGGAAGAGGAGAAAGATCGATGCGCGAAGACGACGACGAGACTTATCTTCGACTCACCTTGGGGATCTTCGCGTATTTTCCTGTGCGCGTATCCCGGATGGTCGCGATGTCCAGCAGGTCGAACTCCTTGTTCTGGTCGAGCCAATGCAAATAGAATCCGTTTTCATCGACGCGCAACGTCACCGGCGTCCCGACGCCCGAATCCTGCAACAAAACAAAACACAATTCCAATTAGAACATACAATCAAACGTTTCCATTGACGACAACAATAAAAAAAATGCAATAACGCACAAACAATTGTTGGGTTGCTTAGATCTTTTCAACAAACAAATTTTGCACCTTTTCCATTGAACAATAGAAACTTCAGCATCTGAATTTACAGTTTCAAATTTTATAATTTCATTAATAAGAAATATTGGTCATGGTTCACAATTTATACCGAAATAGAATAATTTCCGTTTTATTACGTTTATTTATTGTGTGCTTTATTATTCTTAATACATACGGAAAGTATACAGAAGTAAAGAGAAAATGTGGTTAATAAACCGAGCGAAATTTAAAAATTTAGCGTTGAGTCAATAAATAAATTGTGAGAAATTATGGAGTCTCTTGTATCTGGGAGTCTGCGGGGACGCATTCGCAACAGATTTATAGTACGTGGTATATCCTCAGGATGGGAATCGAAGGCGGCTGCGGCTGCGACGGAGGTGGTAGATAAAATTACCAGAAGGAAAAGAGAGAGAGAGAGAAACAAAGTTTATTTTCATTGAGCAAACTGTGATGTAATAAAATGAGAGGGACACATGCGTTCCGGAGACGGAGACGTCGCGTCTCCTCGCTAATTGCGCCTAAGATTAAACTCAAACTTATCCCTCATCCCTCGAAGTTAAACAGCTTTCCAATTAAAGTGTCATGCGTCCGAGGTTAAGAATATCCCCGGGTTTTAATATCGCCGTGAAGCGAACTTTTCCAACAAACAAACGATAATGGGATTAGTAGAATGGAGAGACGAGACGAAACGAGTGAAGCAAAAGGAAGAGGAAACTGTGTATTATTATTATTATTGCTGTTTTGCTGAAGGGAAAGAGAGACGTCCGGATGAAGACGTGAAGATGAACGAGCGAAAAGGGTAGATGGTGGAGGAAGATGAGTGGTGGAAGGGTCCTTGAGGGAGGCTGGGAAAAGGTTAAGTGCACTCTTGTGGTTCACGAACAATGAGCCAAATGAGCAAAATGAGCATCGTCGTTACGTTGCCCGACCCCCGGAGAGGAAGAGCAAAAACAGGAGAGAGAGAAAAATTACGCAACCCGTTTTACTACTATGCATTTTTCATACGCCCCATTAATATGCATGATGCGTCCTTGCGAAAACACGTTAAATAACCTATTTCGAAAGGAACAGAAGCTCGATAAACACAAACTACTGAAAATCTATTAAAGCAAGTAATTTATGCATGTTTTTCTTTTTAAAACTATAATATCTACATAATATTCTTCAAAAATGAATATGAAAAGATAAATGTTTACATCACATCGATCACACCTAAACATGACAAGTTCCTAACAATTTCCAACTTATATAAACTAAATCACTATGGTTACGTATGCAATTATTTGAACAAAATTATACTAAATTAGTACCAATATAAATAAACTATATTTAGTTCACTTTTGATACTTTTCTAATTGGACTAATTCAAACATCTTATTAGAATTATCTGAACAGAAAACTTAACTCAAAATTAAATTTTGAAACATTAAATTGATAAATACACGTAATTATTAATTTAAGAGTTCAATGACAGTTACAATAAATTGACAAAAACATGTACGAACTTATATAAAATATGTCAGCAATATTGTATTAAACTTTTTGCTTTTAATACCAATTTTAGGGAAATACTAAGTTGATTTTAAAGTCGTAACATATTTAGAAGAATTAACAATTCCAAAAGATCTAAAATGGAATTAGATAAATAATAATTAATCCCGTTGAAAGATTAATTAATATATTGTCGTGTTCCAGGATGGAATATCTCTGGACACTGTGGAATACTTTGTAGTATTGTCGATGTGGCGTCCTAGTGGGTTTTATGGAAGAGTCTAGATTAAAATCAGTGTAATAATAGTATTTATTTAACACTTAGATGCTGGTGGTTCTTAATCTAGCTTCCAGTTGCTACAAGCAAAGGTTGCTAGAATTGTTACTAGGACTAGGTTCTTCCTAGGACTCACATGAGTCGCGGACTTATATGTAAGAAGACGTACTGAATACAGAATAATATTCTAAGGGTAGAGGCTAATTTGCAATTTGCCAAGTTTTCCAAAAAAAGGTTCTCTTGTCGTATGCAGATGTTTGTAGGTGCCGATAGGCTTGTTTGATGTTCGTTGGAACTTTCCATAAGACTGTACTTACATAGATAAAAAGTACACATAGTACTTATCAAATATATCATATATAATTAATAATAAAGTGGTTGGCCAGAACAGTATACATATTATTGACAATAAGTCTATTGTACAGTTGGTACACTTGACATTTAACAGTTGTAATCAAATGGAAAAGAGTTGCATATCATGTTGATTGTGTGGTGGCACCATTATGTGTTTGAAGTAGACATTTACGATGGGATTATAAAATCCAGAGTTTTTAATGTCCAATAAAGAGATTTTGTAGGTGTCTGTCTGTGTTCGTGTGCGATGTGGTGAAATAATGCATTCAGAATGGAAATCGAGTTTTCGTGCGTTCGCATCCGTGAAACCGTCCAGCTTTTGTTACCGTTGCCGTGACGATTGCTGGGGGGTAAGAACAAAAGTATATTTATTATCTGTATCTACCGTGGAGCAGGTGTATAGCAGATACATGTAGAGAATGAGAGAAACAGGTGACGGTGTGTGTATGTGAGGATATTTGTATGTGGGGGCGGCTAAACGGGGGGCGGCGGCTCCGTTAAAGCCCTCGCAAGCAACGCCGGCGCATAAATATAGAACGCGTGCAGTGTTAATAGAAAAGGGGGAAGGAGACCACCGCCCCCCCCCCGGTCTCCTTTCGCAAGGGATGGAAATGGATGCTGAGCTATACGCGAGTGCTGTGGGCGATAAATGTTTTGTTGATGCGACTACGAATATGCTTTTCGCGTTGCTGCTATTATTATTATTATTATTATCTTCATCATCGTCGTCGTCATTGTTGTTGCGATTGCCTTTGCTGCTATTTAGAAAACGGGCGTTATGGCTGAATGGGGGGCGGCCGCACGATGATCGCCGCCAACTGGCACTTGTATGTGGGAAGGCGGGGGCGGCGGTTTTGGCTTTGTTTTCGCTCGAGCGAATTGAAAGAAAACTTTCCGGACAAACGACGACGACGTCGACAACAATACACGACGACGACACGCAACAACGCGTCCAACTGTCAACATTGACGCAACAATGGTGAAAGAGGGTGTGAGTGTGAGAGAGAAGCGCACCACCTGAAGTGGGCCGACTGTGGAATTTCATAAGGATGAAGAAGAGGAGGAGGAGGAAACAACGTAGCGTCGAGTGGAAATCAATAACACCACCGCCTCCCCAAAAGTTAATTAATTATTTTCCTTGTCTCGCGCAAACCCAGCGAAGACGCGTCATCTCGAGTTTCAGCGATAGGTTTTCCATACAATATTTGTTTACAATCTATTCAATTTCGAACGGTAAATTACCTTCGGGAATCACAATGAATGCAAAATATCTCGTTATTTGCAAATCTAATTAAAATGCATACAGCGCATTTCAGCTGATTTTTCAGCATCGTTATCATCATTTCCCTTGACTCACTGCAATTCGCCATCTCTTGGCCAATTCGCCAAACTAAATTTAATTAATTCCTCAGTGAAATTCATAAAATTATCAACTTTATTAAGTGTATTAATAATTAGTTATGATATTTCGAGTAATTACACAATTAACCTTCACGATTGAAGTAACTTGTAAATAGTGAGAACATTTAGTTCAAACGCGCTCTTCCTTCCTCTGTTTACACGATTTAAATCCGTGCACGGATTTAGATAAAGCTTTCCGACGACCTCGCAAATCAAATCGGATTTCAGTTGGAAAACGAACTTTCCTGCAAACGATGGAAAAATTTCAAAGAAAATCGAGATTATATAATTCCTTTAATCAGCTGTTTTCGTTAATTCAATAATACGAAAGAAGTAACAAAACTTTGACAGGTGTCAATAAAAAGTGAGTTGACACTGGGAAAACAGTGACATGTGTCAAAAACAACATATTTTTATAAAAACTGACATGTGTCAAAAACAACATATTTTTATAAAAAATGACATGTGTCAAAAACAACATATTTTTATAAAAAAAAAAACAAACAGATTTTTATGTAATACGTTCGTCCGATGTTGAATATTTTATTACTACTTTTGAGCAGGTTTTTTTCTATGTAAATGTAATCTCGTAAATGTGAGATGAATCTGCTGAGGAGGTTAAATGCATTAGCTGTGCTATACAGTGACAGCTGACACACGCCAATTGAACGGCGCGTCTCAATTGACGGATGTCAAAGGTTACACGAAAGCAATTGTAGGAAGAAGAGCCCCGTTTCGTAGAAGAAATTGCGTGCTGCGCCGCATCTCGATTGAATTAGTGCGGATTAGCAGAGAGAATTCGCGAGATTTGACAGCTGAACAAATATATTGAGTGTTGAGTAGGTGGAGGAGGGAGGTGTTTACTGAAATCTGTTGGATTGGAGAGATAAAGGAGAGGACGACTTCCGCACAGAGTTCGATTGATAAGCGACGTAATAATATTGATCGGCAGATGCCGCCACCCCCCGCGGCCACTCGACGCGAGAGCGTCAATATTTATTGTTTGCCTTTATCATAATAATGCACATTAAACAAGGTCCTGTGCAAACACTACACTATATAATACATCCTGGAGCTAATTACACATTAAACAACGACGTTCGCGCGCTTCCCCAGACGCACGACATCAACATCATCGATCCAGATTGACAGCTGTCACATGATTTACCGTCTCGGCTTGTCTTCTCTCGATATACCAGCAATAATTAAACGGAATGTACATAACATTGGAACGTTCCTAATAAACAGATTTATTTACTATCTTTTAACAAGATAACTTTAGAATTGATTCGAATTCATTAACTAGTAATTAAACTAATAGTTTACACAAACTTAAATATAAACATGTTG